GGTAGGGGGACACCGTGGGGGGCACAGTGGGGGTAGGGGGCGCAGTGGGGTTAGGGGGACACAGTGGGGGTAGGGGAAACAGTGGGGGTTGGGGGACACAGTGGGGGGCACAGCGGAAATAGGGAGCAACAGTGGGGGACAGTGGGAGAAAGAGGAACACAGTTGGGGACACAGTGGGGGGAGGGGGACGCAGTGGGGGAGGGGCACAGTGCGGATAGCACAGCAGGGAGGGCATGGTGACTGAAGGAGAAAGTAGGGCACAGTGGGAGAGGGGGTCACAGTGTTAGTTTTTCTGATACAGGTAGCTCTTCTCTCCTATTTTTCCCTCCCCAACCAAACCATATTAAGTTCGAGTAAAACGTGGCATAACCTAGCGAATCGTTCTCAAGCGCCTCGCATGCAATGTGGTCAAATTGCCTCGTCGACATCACCCCCCCCCCCTTCCCAGAAAGATCCTGGGTCCACCATTGATACTGTACCTATTATTATTTATAAAGTATTAGAATACACATTATAACGTTTGTTTCAGCCCACTAGCCGCAATGCCGATACTTGATAACAAGGCGTACCAGAAACAACTCCGTACGTGGATTGGTGACCCGGCCTTGACCTTTGACCTTCTGTACAGCGCCTCCAGAGACGGCTGCAATGGTCAGGCGTTCCATTCGAAGTGCAACAACCAAGGTCCGACTGTTTCTGTTGGTCAGAACAGCGCTGGTTACGTCATAGGGGGATACACAAGCATCGCGTGGACATCGAGCGGAAGTTATATTAATGATGACCGTTCATTTTTGTTCCAGCTCCTACCAAACATGGTAAAGTTTGCTCTCAATGGGTACGAGGATTATGTTTATGACAACGCTAACTATGGCCCCACGTTTGGAGGTGATCACGATCTGTTGTTCATTTCCAATTCATACAATAAGTCTGGTGCTTATTTCAACACAAATGGCTACAGTAGTATCGGTAATACTTATAATACCAATGGTTACAACGCCCAAACATTTACTGGTAACAACAAAGCCTATCTCGACATTGAAGTGTACGCTGTAAAACGTAAGTGCCATTGTTCCTGACAAATGTATAATAGCCAATGATTTCATTCCTAGTTTCAAATGATTTTTCTCAATACTGAGTGAAATATTAGAGAAAGTAAACAAAATTGCGAAGTTTTTAAGTGAGTGTTTGTAAAGAATAAAAAGTATGAACTATTATATGTGCCATTTTATTTACATTACGCGACAATGGATACCTGGACTTCCTCTCAATATTAAATGATATAAATAGATATGGTACCTTTCTACGTTTAACAACATTAGATATTTCTCTACAGGTAATTTTTCTCTAATTATCGTTATTATTTTACAGAGGGAAATCTGGAAGATGAATTATATGAGAAAGATAAACCGTGGCGCAAAACTGACATTAACGACTGGAGTAACAAGGTACATGTAGCTCTTCGACGTGGCTTTAACAAGCTTTCATTCTTACTTATTGTTGTGGAATGCTCCACATTTTTTATGTTAATAAGATAGTAAAATTATTTATCAAATTCCGAATGAATTAATCTTTAATTATTATTTTTTTTTTGAGACAGGCTCAATTATTTATCAAATTTTATAGTATTCTTTCTACTTTTGACTATTATAGAGAGTTCTGCATTCTGCCACCGTGGCGCCACCTACTCATTTGTAATTTGATTTAGGAAACTATAGCAAGCAGGAGCATCCACAAAAAATGAATTTTATTAAATTTAACATTGGAAAAAAGGCACATTTGGTGGTACTGTGTAGCTGTTTAAGGTTTTTACCTTTTTTCTCAGACTAAAGACAAAATTTTTGATGAATTGGTGTCTTACTCCACTCCAAGCCCAGCCAAAGTCCCCGCCGCACGGCTTCTCCTGGTGGGCAGTGTGGGGGCGGGGAAATCCAGCTTCTTTAACACCGTGCGCTCTGTGTGGAAAGGCAAAGTACGCAGCCAGGCGGCGACCGGAACGGCACCCCAAAGCCTCACAACCAAGGTATGCACTGGCATGATATCTGTTTTCCATTGGTATATGCAAGGGGTGCATACGAAAAGCAGGCTAAAAAGGTCTTCAATGTAGAAATATTTACAATTTTATCAATATGTGTTTTGAAGGAAAAAATCCAGGCACAGGTTCGCTTCTTTTTTCCTCTTTCTTTCTTCCTTTCTTTCTTCTTTATTGAGTGATTATTATAAGTCATGCAGAAGAATAAGAATGATGAATATGAATAACTCTAAAACCCGGATAAAATCTGGAGCAAACGTGACATTAAAGCAAGAAGCTATTTGGGAACAGGTGGAAAATCCACCACTGAACAAGAAAGGATGCATCGGGTGTTAACCTCTCGCACATGTGGGACGGGACACTAATTCTACTGGAGACTATGCCTAGCCGCATTACAATAGATCTGGTGACCAGTCCATCCAGGTCATTAACCAAGTGAAAGCTACGTGTATCAAAGTTGATGAGTTGCTTAATGTAAGTTGCAGTGTCAGAATTATTATTTTTCATCTTTCTTTCTTATTTTTGTTGTTGTTGCTCTTCTTCTTATAGTATCGTGTGTATGCGATCCAAGGAGGCCACCAGACACCTGCGTTCCGTCTGTGTGACACCATGGGTCTGGAAGAGGACCAGGGACTAGATGTGGTCGACATGTCCTATGTGCTGGATGGTCACGTGCCGAACCATTTCCAGGTCAGTGACGTATTAATTAGCTCCTGGAGTCGTAGATGTCCAGAGTCACAGGGAAGACAGAGGTGTTCTGATGGTAGAGGCCGGTGTCTAACACCCTGGCGAATATACTGTATCAGTCAATTGTTAATTATCCCATACTAAGACTACAGTGATGGGATTTACAACGTTAGGCTAACGAAGATGATTCAACACTCTTTAAAATTTCCAAAAAAATGATCACTCAGATAATAAATGTTTATTATGCTTAAATTCATTTTTTTTATTTGAGTTTACCTTAATTTCACTTTGCATTAATGGTTCGTGATTTCTTTGTATCTTTGTTTAACAATTTACAATTTTAGTCAAATGTAGTAATTTAATAACGTGCAATTATGTTTACATAAAATAAACATTTTTATTAAATTTATCTCCAGTTTAACCCGGCTGTGCGTATCACACGTAAATCTCCTGGTTTTGTGAAGGATCCTGGTTTGGCTGACGTCATTCACTGCGTAACACTTGTCATAGATGGCAGCACATACAAGGTCATGCCACCCAAGGTCAAGGACAGACTGCTGGCTATACGAACTCTGGCACGTGGCAGAGGTAATTTCTATATTTCTGTAACTGAAATTTAAAAGTCGATTATTTTTGCTTTTATATTTAATTAATTGCATGACAGATGTGGCGCGGTGGCGCGATTTCGAATAAGTTTTTAAACCTACATAAATGGTTATGTTCAAGCAAACTATGCCAATTTTATTGATATATCCTGTCTTCCCTTCAACAACGTGTAACATGTATGAGTATCGCACCCATTAAAAAGAACGACGTTCGAAAATTGGTATTTTAATGTTAAAGGGAAGACAGGATATATCAATAAAATTGGCATAGTTTGCTTGAACATACCCATTAATTTAGGCAAGTGAAGGGGTGGAAGGGAGAAGTCTCAAGGGTAACATATCTGAGCCTCGCCTCACTGAGCATGTACATGTATATAGACCCTGTACACTGTACAATTATCTGTTGGGGTTTTGTTCCGGCGAAGTGCATGTAGTTTAATTGTTGATTGATGAAATATTCAGACTTGATTATTTGTAGGTACAATTGTCTTGCTGACTTAACCACAGATCATTGTGTACAAATATTGCTTTGAGAGTAAGAATAAATTATTCACTGAAGTTTAAACTCTTGCAGATATCCCGGTCCACGTGGTCTTGACCAAGGTGGACAAAGTATGCAAAGACGTAGCTGAAGACCCATCTGTGATATTTCACAGTCGTCTGATTGAAAAGAAAGTGAAAGAAATCAGTGACGCATTCGGCATACAGAGTAATCACGTCCATCCCGTGAGGAACTACGAGTCCGAGACTTCTGTTGACCCCAGGCTGGACATCCTGACACTGAACGCCCTCAGACAGATGACCGGAAGTGCCGAGGACTACATTGAGGATCAACTCGACGACATGGAGGAGGAGACCGACACCCAAATGTCTAAGATTAATATCAAAAGTTAACTCCGAGGATGTCCGGAACCACACAAAATTTAGTAATGAATTAAATTAGAAACGGGCTCGAAATACTGCAGACACTGTTGAATGCTTTTAGATTGGATAACGCGTTAATACTACTCAATCATTTAATGTTCACTAGTCGCTTGCTTAGGTACATTCTGACGATATGTGGGGAATCACACTTTTTAGTATCGAGACAATGGCTTCATGAACTTTTTAAACCATGGCTTCTAAATCAGAATAGTCATCGTAGCTTACACACACTGGACAAAAGAAGTGTCACCCCTACTGAGCCAATACTATGGGGGAGATAAATGACTGCGGAATGATATGCTCCTGGTATCATTTTATTAACATCAAATTTCACAAAAAATCACAAATCGAGAACAAAATATACATTCTACCAAAATATGCAGTTTCAAGTCCAAAATTAGCACTTAGTGGCATAGCCACGTGACCTAATAATAGGTGCCAGTCTACGAAGCAAGGTTTCATATAATTGTCTGATGCGTTCAGGGCTAATGCTGTCCCAAGCATGAAACACTGAATATAATAGAGTTTCTCTGCTGGTTAGGCGGGCATTTGTAAAAAGTTTTGACATATCATTCCACACATTTTCTATTATGTTTGCATCCGGACTCTGGGCAGGCCACATCACCCTGCGAATGTCCTGTTGGTCAAACCAATCATCAACTGCTCTGGGCCTGTGACAAGGAGCATTGTCATCCTGGTGAACAAATGGATAATTCCTGTCACCAAACATGTTAGTAATAGATGGTAGCAAGCCTGACTCCAAAACATCGATATATTTCTAGTGATTCATGTTTCCATCAACCACTGTCAATTCGCCCAAGCCATGGATGCTGATGCAGCCCCACACCATGACGAATATGCTGCTCCGGGTTCGAAAATTAAGTGCATGTGGTTCAAATGCTTTACCAGCAGTTTGCCAGCATAGTACCCGTCTGTCATCAGAGGTCAGACCAAAGCGACACTCATCAGAAAAAAATATATAGGACCAATTGTCATGAACTGTCCAGTTCCAGATCCTGTTGACCCTAGTTTACTCTACGTTGCCTGTTTTGTAACGATATAAGAGGTTTCAGTCTTGCTACCCTGCTGTACACTCTCTGAGCATGTAACCGACGCCTAGCAATTTTCACAGACACATTCTTATGTGTGAAATTGTTCCACTGTGTTGTCAACTGACAAGCAGTGTCGAACTTTGACAACCTGGACATCAAAATCAGTCGTCGGTCTTCACGGCCAGTATTTTTTCTTGGACGACCCATCAGAGGCAATTTGTCTCTTGATCCAGCGTTTCTATACCGAGATCAGACCCTCTGCACGGTTCTGACTGAACAATTCAATTGTATCGATATTCTGACATTGCTTATATTCCGCCTCTTCAGGTTAATAACTTGCACCTATAACCGTTAGATAATTGCCTGTATCTTGCCATATTGGAGGAAGACAGGAATAACATTTGCTGTACATGTACAAGACCAACAATACAATCCCATGGTATAGCGGTTTTATACTCATTAGTCACATTATAAGTAGACCAGGCATTATAAGTACCCAAGATCTGCCTACTTTTATTACTCTGAGTTAGGGGGTGACACTTCTTTTGTCCAGTGTGTGTACTCTGTCTCTTTAGGCTTTACATAACGTATTATAAGGAGTTTTAAGTTATTACGTGAAGTTACTGAAATTGCCTATGAATTTTAAAATGTCTCCGACAAGGAGTCGCGCTTACATGGGGGAGGAGACCGACACCCAAATGTCCAAGATAAATATCAAACAGTAATTGCCAGGAGTCGCGCTGACATATATACGTGCATGTACCACAGTACCCTCTTTTGTTTGAATTGTAGAACTAAAACAAATAAGACGAGAATTCTGCACATAGCAATTTCTGATTTAGACACGATCGATCCTCAAGTATATGTACAATATACTGGTATAACCTCAAATATATATGTACAATATACTGGTATAACCTTAAATTGTAATTAATGCAAATGACCTGTGCAAGATTTTGTTCGAGATGCAAATGGAAAGTGGAGCACGTGACTACATGTACATGTGTCCTCTATCCGTTCTAACTGATATCTTGTTCTACAGCTACGCTTCGTCGCAGATATTGGCAAATTGTGTTAATTCTAGTTAGTTGAGAGAAGTTTCAAGAAAGAATCAGTTTATTGTTTGAACGTATTAGCAGATTGTGATGTTGTGGCGGTAATGATATGCGTTCTGTAGATCACTGATTCAGAGAAAGATTGTCTTTTCGTCATAAACTGCTACCAGTATTTCATTTTAATGACTAGACACAGTTATATTTGATTTACTTCTAGTTATTATGTTGGGTTAAAATAGACTTATATTTTGTTATGTAAATCAATACCAAATAAGACAATTTTGTAATATTGCTGTTATAATGTATCTGCTTTCCTCAAAATCATTGCAGTTATTTTAGGATATATCAAAGAATGAAATGATTTAAATTTTTTTTATTAAATGTTGATCACATTTTTGGTTTCTTATTCAGACCATTACTTACTTTCTTAGAACTTATTGTTGTGAGTTTACATAATAGAAAAGCAACCCGATTTCTGTTTTAATATCATTCCATGTGAAACATCAACTTTGATCTTAAAATCACATAATAGGAAAGTTATTGCTTTGAGCTAAACGAACATTGCGCAATTCGTCTTTGAAGAACCAAAATGATATAAATAAAATATATTATGAAATTATATGATATGATATTATGAAATGATATAAATGAAATATATTATTATCAGAGATAATGAAAATCTCGTTGAAATCATGTATTATACCGTTATCGATAACCTAAAATATCATCTTTGAAATAAATCTAGTTCTAATTTCGTACAAAGTTACAGATATATGCTTATTTAAACAATAAAAAAGAAGACGGATGCAGATAAATGTATAGAAGGACGTAATCAGCAAATTATTATTACTATTTATTGTCATGTTTTCATCCACTGAATTATATCAACAAATAATATACATAGGTAACAAATCAGTTTTTGCAACCTCAGATAGTTGCTAGGATTTTTGTCCAGTACGTGTGACCGTAACCACACAGGTCCTACGACCTCAGAGACCAATTATTTAAGCAAAACACTATGAAGGGATATTTTATATTTTCTCTGCGTTCACACGGACATGGCAGTGACAGTCTTACATCAATAGTACTTCCGGTTAAGCACGCGCTCTTTTGTTCTCATAAGAGAGTAATGTGAACATCATGGCGGGAGTTCGAGTAGCGATAAATGTAAAGCTGCACAAAATATATATTTTTTCGTGTCAAGAATAGTACAAATGCATGAAAATTACAGCAACGGCTTGGCATCACATTACTGAATAAGTGACCCCAAACCTTCACCAATCCCATCGGACCCTGAAATTCATCCCAGAATATGTTTTTTTTTTTTTTTTTTTTGCTGCGTGTATGATTTACGACATATGTAGTCTCATCTGTAGAGTTGCGTTTCAATCTCTCGCTACTACTCATGAAAACTTGTTGACGTGGTATACTCGAAATAACAAACTAATTATCCCAATTAACGTGACTGTTACATGGGGTCCTACCTTGACTCTTAGTGTTTTTGTTCACCAGCTCTCGATGCATGCAAGACCGCCGACGTATTTTGGTGATTTCTTGCTCAGCGGCAGTAAATTTGTCTCTTCCATCAACTGTGTCAGATGTATAAATGACCAGTCCTGTGCTGGGACTGTACAGTGATTTCGTATTCAAAACCAAGATGATCATCAACTTGCAGCCTTTTAGGAAACAAAATCTGGGGTCGTTTACATCAGTTTTTCAGGCACAATTTATGCGTTTTTCTTGAAGTCAAAAATATTTTAGAAGATTGAAGCTTTAGGTTGTTTTAGCCTGCAATGCTTCCCAAATGGTTTGCAACGAGGTTTCTGAGATATGTAGGATAAGATGGTTGGGTATAAATTATACATTTACACATGAAAATATTTCAATGTGAGATATATGCCGTAACCAAACATGTACCAACTGTTAGCCTGGTTTTATTTAAGGTTAAAGCGACCAACTGTCAACTATCATGGAACTCATGGGATCCTGATATTTTTCATTTTCAGTCGCACCTGGCGGTGCACAAAATTACGCCCCAAATCTGTAAGCGAAACTGGCTACCTGCGACCTTTGGTAACGAATTTGTGTCTGAAGTTGCTTGAAGTTGCCAAAAAGTTGTAAGCAAATTGCCACCTAGGCTGTACGAACAGTAGTTCTGAAGGGCTCGAATACCTTGGGGGGAGTTTTGTTCCACGGGCATCAAATCCCAATAAAATGTGCCTCAGGACGTCAGTTCTTATAGAAAAGCATCCCTCTACCAAGGTCACAAATTAATTTAACTTATTCACTTGCTAATTGATGACACAAATCTTTGCTGTTGTGCATGCGCTGCCAGGGTGTGCATCCGTTTTGTACGATTTTTGACAGTGATGTTAAAGATATCATCACAAACGTGGTGCAAGAAGTATAAAGTCATATTTTTTGTGTCCCATGTAAAGACCCCAGTACATTTCGTTTACCCCAAACCTACACCGATTCCATCGGACCCTGTAGTTGCATTCCTTGCACTGTCTTTTTTCGTTCCACCGGTTTAATTTGTGTAGATATCGTAAACGGACAGATCTGGGTTATTTTTCGCTGTGTGTCTGATCAACGAACTATGTAGGCAGAAGAGTTGCGTTCAAATCTATCGCTACTGGAATTCTCCAATACGTTAAAAATACGATATTTGATACGTTAAAATATCTGATTTCTCCAAAAAAGGACCTAAAACTACGCCCTTACTAGTATATAATCAAAGGATTGAGAGAGTAGGGTCTGCTGTCTTCTTAGGGGTTATGATCAGTAGTGATTTGAGCTGGGAAGGTCACATCTGTGATATTTTTAAAAAACAAGTAAAAGGCTACACGATCTTAAGCTTCTGAAAAGAGTGGGTATTCCAACCTATGAACTTGTAAGCTTTTACACATCAGTAATCAGACCTACATTAGAATATGCATGTCAGGTGTGGCGCCTAGGCCTCACACAAAAACAAGTTGATAAAATTAAATCCATCCAGATTAGAGCATGTAAGATTATATTCCCAGAGTTGCCCTATGATGGGGCACTTGAAACATGTAAAATTATCACTCTTGCTTGTAGAAGAGATGAACTACCTAAAACATTATTGCATTACATGTACTCTGATGGACACAAAATAAATCATTTGCTACCAGAGATAAATAAGAGTTCCTACACT